TAAGAAAAAGTATGGCGTGAACACGCTGCCTCATAATCCTGTAATCCTTAGCAAGCCTCTCAACTGTATACACCTCAGGATTCTCTTTATGCAATCTATACATCTCAGTCTTCTCAGAGTCCTTAAGATAAGACCCTCTAGCTCCAGGCTCCTTCACTTGCTTCAACAACACACTCATCTCCATCATTCTCTGTTTAATCCCATCAACAAAAGCCCTACCTTGCTTATTATCTTGGTCAATCTCTTTCATTATATCATCAAGCTCATTCATCTCGTTAACCATAGCGATTTCTTTCGGACCCAACTTGCTCATTACATCGCCCGAATCAGAACCGGGATTATCCGAAGAAGGATTCTCCGTGTTCTTCTGACGACCAACGGAGACACCATCGAAATGCTCTTTAGTCAAACCAGTCGACCACATTGATTTCTTGTCCCAATCTAAATCATCAGATCCCGTACTACCACCGAATGATCCTCCTGTTGCAATATCCCAACCGTTATCGTCTCCTCCAACTCCATCAGATTTCCCAGAAAATGCTCGATTCCCGGAAAACTGAACGAGTTTTGATGAAGCGCGAGCGTTCTCAATCAGAAACCCAGATGCTCTCGTGCTAGGGTTAAGCGAAACCGAGGATAAACGAGAAATGACCCTACAAAGATGATTCATTTCTAGTGATTCTCCAGTTACAGAACAATCGATGAACTCGAAAAAGTAGAATCGCACGAACCCTGAAACGAAATCAACATAGAAGAAGAAGATCTAGTAACTAACCAATAAAACAACTAAACACACACACAAAAAGGTTCGATTTTTAGTAACCTGAAGTAGAAGATAGAGCGAGATTTGTAAGGAAGAAGAGAGGTCGGAAACTCCGATTAATCGGAATCAATGGCGTGAAGGTGGAATCACGATGAAGACCAACGGAGGCCAATAGCGAACTGCGCTAAAGGAAAGGGTTTTAGAATTAGGAAGAGATCAGTTTTTCTTTTGTTTTTTTATTATGATTTAGCCCCTCTATTCCCTTAGTTATTACAAATGTCACCTAATATTTATTTATTTTGTTTACGCACCGCTATTAAACTTTTATTTGTTACAATTCAAACCCTGAATTCCATTGAAACAGAACTTACATAGATTTTTGCAATTGCACAAGATGTTGACTTGAAGCAAATGTTAAAACTTTAAAACTTTTTTAATGATTTTATAAAGTAGACAACACTAGCAATTTGAAAGAAAAAACAAAATGGCTCATCTTCACTTCAAAAGTTTTGTTTTGTTTGTAATGAATCTAAGCCATATCACAAAAGTCTTACTAAATTTTAGTCCCAATAACCTCAATCATAAGAAGATTGTTTAATCTGATGATTTCGACATAATTAAATCTAAAACGATGACAAAAACAAATACCCTAGAAAACACACATTAAAAAACACTTCAACTCTCACAACTAAAACAAAACCTCTTAAAAAAAGCAAAGAAAAGCTGCTGAATCCTCTTCCTTTTCCCCTTTGAGCTCCCTTACTTTCTACACAAGAAAACTTTCTGACCTTGATCCGAGAATTGCTCAACCACTATGTGATTGGCTCCTAGTATCGCCGGA